TATTTTTGATAGCTCTAATTTTGAGGGAGTTGTTTATTGAATTTTAAGATGCCACTAAATGGTTACAAAAAAATGGACTATATGTATGGTGAAACGAAATTTGACGGGTAGGGTCAAGTTTGGAAATAAATAATACTCCATATTTGAAATAATACTTCATATTTAAAATTTAAAGTAATATTCCTACATATTTTTACATCAAACCAAGTGATATTGGAGAGGTATTGAATGGGAAATAGAGCAAAATAAAAAATAAAATATGAAGGTTGGTTGAAAAATGAAAATGCTCTAATAGACACATCTCATCGAACTAAGCAATCGATCATCGACAAAGAAGGACACACCGAATATAAGGCCAAAAATAAAAAGTCATTGACAAAAACTTGTCTATAAAAACACAATGTTTGTGTAAAACCATAAAACATAAAATCCAATATTTAGAGATTGCAAACAAATTATCAGAAAATTATTGATAAAACAAAATATAATTTCACACATTAAATTAAGGATTTACTAGCTTCTCAAGAAAAAACAAAATCCTACAATTGTATTATTTTAATTAAACAAACTTGTAACTTTTTGTAAAAAATTACACCATATTTTCACATATATATATATACACATGGGCAGTATGTGACAAAAGATTGAAGACGGAGACGTTCACCAACTCCCACTGGCCCAGCTCAAGAATCTGCAAACGAAATTGGGGGCATAATTTGATCTGATTTACTTACTATTAACTAATCAGTTGATATTAAATTCATCAACTTTTGCTTCAATTCATTTCATTTATGGGATATTTGGATCCCTTTCTTTCATCGAGTAGTTAATTTCAGCCCCTTTGACATTATCCGACCTCCAATTGGAACCTTTCGTGTTCTTCCAACGAAAGTCCACAAACTACTTTACTTCTTTCTGCTAAAAGTTACACAGATTTTCTTCTCGCGAACTCGGATTATTACACAGAAGGTAAAAGGAAGAACCCCTTCTCTTATTTGCCATTCAGTCAGTGACTCAGTGTTCAGAAAATCGTTTATAGCTGACACAATTGTCTCATTATCGCAATGCAAGAAGAAAAATTGGGGTTTTGGTTATGATTTCGAAGGGTTTTGTTGACCCATTTCATCATTTCGGCTTGTGGGTCTTTTAAAATCCGATCTTGCTCACTCCTCGTGCTTGCTTTTCTGGTCAAAGATTGTAATGGTAATTGTTAATTTACTAATTTCTCTCTTTATCTCGTTTACCTTTCTAAACAAGTGACTTTCGCTTTCGCGTCTTTATGTAAAAAGTTGAGTGAAATTAGTAGCGAATTCGTGTATGATTTGCAGAGATGAGTTTCGAGAGTAGCATGGCTGAACTGGAAGTAGTAACTTGTACCCATAAGCGTTCGAAAAGGTATCCACCATTTTTTTCCCTTTTTCTTTTAAACATGTTCGTTAATTTTCGACTTCTGTTGTATGACATTGATTGATTTCTCGAACTGGAAATCGCTTCCGAAGTGGGTTTCCGACAAAAAAAAACGATATTAAGAAAAGAATCCAACATTTTATCGACGTTTTTAATCTTCAAACATTATGATTTTCTGTTTGAAATCAAGAGGGTAAACAATGGATACTTATAAACACTGTGAAATCTTGGATCTTAGCAGCTTTCCAGGAAAAAATGGAGTTGAAGAAGATAACCAGAAGACAAAAAGTTGTACAAATTCGGATAACAATCACTTGCCTAATGCAGAAATCCAAAATTCCTTGAGAAATGAGGTAATAAAATTATCATTTTTTAATTTTTCCCTCTAAATATCACATTTTCAAGAAACATTAATCCATTTAGTTTGTATTTTTATTTCAGATATTACAGCTTGAAAAAAGATTACAAGATCAAGTTGCTGTTCGTGGTGCTTTAGAACAAGCTTTGGGTTATCGATCATCTTCCCTTGAAATCACAAATCAAGCCTTAATCCCAAAAGTAATTAATTATTAACTTTCTAAATATTTTAAACATAAATATTAACTTTCTAAATAATTTTCTTTTACCATAATTACAGCCTGCAACAGAGCTTATTAAAGACATTGCAGTTTTAGAATATGAAGTTTCACATTTGGAGCAATATCTTTTGTCATTATATCGTAAAGCATTTGATCAACAAATTTCATGTCCATATGATGATGAAGCTTCAAAATCACCATTAATGATTACTCCAAGAGGCAAATATGTTGAAACTTGCAGAAATGATATCTCTTTGAAACTCCAAGAGGCAAATCACAATAACAATAGAGGCGTTGAAGTCGAAGAAGAAGAAGAAGAAGAAGAAGAAGATATAGTTTTAGATTCTGGTGTTCATCGTTGTCACTCTTCATTATCTCATCATTCAATTGAAAATCCCATAAATACCCTTGGTAAAGAGCTTCGAGCATGTCACTCACAACCACTTTCCATGATGGAGGTAATCATTTTACAACGTTTTTTATACCCTGAATCCTATCTTAGCATTCTACTTTCACTAATGAACATATGACATTATGCCCTATTTGAGATTGAAACTAAATCTCTAATATGTTAAGATTTGGAGGGAAACTTATAATGAATTTGAATTCGTATGTTTATATGCATTACATGTGGAATAATAGTTTTAATATAGTTAGTTTGGCTAGTTATATAATTAATCTGTGTTTGGCACGCCACAACTAGCTTATAAGCTAGCTTTTTTAAATTGTATGTTTTGCAAACCAAAAAGTAGTTGAAAAGCTATCTTTTTAAAAAGCTACTTGGAGTACCTTTTTAGGAGCTTTTTAAAATTTTTCCGAATACACCCTTAGTTAATTATAAAAAACATATTCTTTTGAATGTCCTTTTATGTCATTTTATATCTTCCAGCTAGCTTATCAGCTAGTTTTTTACCAAACGTCATTTTTTATCAGCTATCAGCTAGCTTTTCAGCTAGTCTACCAAACATAGCCTTAGTCCCATCTATTATATGGGAATGATTTTCTTATGTGAAACTTATTATGAATTATAAATTTGTACGATTTATATGCAGTATGCACAAAATAATTCATCAAACATAATTAGTCTGGCTGAGCATCTTGGAACTAGGATTTGTGATCATGTTCCCGAAACACCAAACAAGCTCTCAGAGGATATAATCAAGTGCATGTCGGCTATATATTGCAAGCTTGCGGACCCACCTCTTGCAAATCATGGGATTTTATCTCCTACTTCATCATTGTCATCAATGGGGGCATTTTCGCCAAAAGATCATTCGGACATGTTGTGGAGCCCGGGGTTTAAAAGGGTATCATCGTCTTTTGATGTGAGATTAGATAACCCTTTTCATGTTCAAGGGCTTAAAGAGTTTAGTGGACCTTATAGTACAATGGTGGAGATTCAATGTATTTATAGAGATGGACAAAAGTTAGGTGATATTGAAGATATGTTGCAAAATTTCAGGTAATAAGATGAAAATTAAGATTAACAATTAAATAATTGTTTTTTCTTTTTGTGTTTATTTGAATTAATGTGTGTTGTTGACTTATTGTAGGTTGCTTGTTTCTCGATTAGAAGAAGTGGATCCTAGAAAATTGAAGCATGAGGAGAAGTTAGCATTTTGGATTAATGTACATAATGCATTGGTGATGCATGTATGTATATGAATCTCATAAATTCATTTTTATGCTTTTCTTTTGCAAATTTATTTTAAAAAAGAATCATTAAAATCATTGGTTCATGTGTTTGCAGGCGGTTTTGGCTTATGGGATTCCACAAAACAACATAAAGAGAGTCTTTTTGCTATTAAAAGTGAGTAAAACACTTGTTCTTTGAACATTTTTGGGTCAAACTTTAAAGGGTCTTTATGGGTTTGGTTTAAAGATCAATCTTGATATGAATCTTGAAAAAGTTGGTATTTTATGTTTGTTGCAGGCTGCTTAAAAGTTAAAAACTTGATATGAATCTTAGAAAAAGATTGCATTTTTTTTTTTTTCAAATTTGTTTTAGGCTGCATAGAATTTGAAATCTTGATATGGATCTTGGAAAAGTTGGTATTTTTATGTTTGTTTCAGGCTGCTTATAAATTAAATCTTGATGTGAATCTTGAAAAAGATTGCATTTTTATGGTTGTCTTAGGCTGTTTATAAACTTGATATGATTTTTAAAAAGGGGGAAAAAAACATTACATTTTGGGCAATTTTGCAGTTTTATTCACTTATACTTTATTTCTTCCAATCAGACATTAAAATTATAAGTAGATAAAACTACAAAATTACCCAAAAAAAAAAACACCATATTTTTTCGGTCAAAATGGTGAATTTGGAAAAATGTCTGAAAACTTTTATGGTTTGATTGGAAAAAAAGAAAGTTTTATTGGTTAAACCATAAAACAGCCCAAAATATAATCTTTTTTCTTTGAATCTTGAAAAAGTTCACATTTTTTGCAGGCTGCATATAATGTTGGGGGTCATGTGGTAAGTGCAGATGTGATCCAAAATTCAATCCTCGGATGCAAAATGTGTCGTTCTGGGCAGGTATTAATTTTATAATTATATTAAACTCAACATATGCTTAAAACATTTTTCATTTCTATTTTTTTTTTAAATATATAAAAAAAACTAATATTACTTTATTTATTTGTGTAGTGGCTTCGATTGTTATTATCTTCAAGAAAAAAGTTCAAATCAGGAGATGCACGGCAAGATTACGCAATTGACCATCCCGAGCCATCTTTTGCATTTCGCACTTTCTTCAGGATGCCACTCGGATCCCGCAGTATGTATTTTTCATTTATTTATTTATTTATTTATTATTATTATTATTATTATCATTGTACTTTTGATTGTTTTCTTATTAAGGCATTGTTATAGTTGTCAAACTCGTACGAGTTGAGTCAATTTATACCCTAAAAGAGTCGACTCGGTAGTGTGACTCGTCTTTACATGTGACTCGGTTGAGTCTACTTTCATTTCTTTCTATGCCGCATCGTATTTTGAAAAAAATTCCCAATTATAGCATTGTACTTTTATTTATTTATTTTCTTATTAGGACTTTAGAAAATTATAATAGGAAGAACGATTACTCTTATAGAGAAAAAGTCAAAGGGTTAGTTTTCGTAGCTGCAGTGTGGGAGTTTTAATTCCATTCTGGATTGGGCCTACACTAGGCCCTTTTGCCAGTCATCTGCCACTGTGTACCTGATTTACCTCTCACATGATGCTTCTGTGGGTTGTTGTTGAAGAATAACTGTTTTGCAAAATATGAAGAAATGAAAGTAGAATGATTTAATAAACAAATCTATGAAAGTAGATTGTTGTTTTTTGCATTTAAGCCAATAATGAATAATCTATTAACAAGATACAAATCTTGAAACAATATAAACTCATTTTGTTGTTTGTTGTTTTTACAAGGTTCGTATCTACACCCCGAAACGAGTGATCCAAGAACTTGAAGTTGCAAAAGAAGAATTTGTGAGGGCTACATTTGGTGTAAGGAAGGATCATAGGATTCTTTTACCAAAAATGGTTGAAAGTTTTGCAAAAGATTCGGGATTATGTGAAGGTGGTGTGATTGAGATGATCCAAATGTGTTTACCAGAATCGATTAGGAAGAACATCAAGAAACATCAAATGGTGAAATCAAGAAAGATGATTGAATGGGTTCCTCATAATTTTGGTTTTAGGTATCTTATTTGTAAGGATCTTGTGAGGTGATTGTTAATGCTATTTTTTTATTTTCTTTTTGTAATGTATGTAAATGAAAATAGATGACCAAGAACGTATCCATTATGTATTTTTTCAAGAGATGCATTAGTTATGGTCATTATAATGCCTCAAAAAAGTCATTGAAATGTGAAAGAACCAAAAACCAATTTTTGAAAAATCAAAATTGTAAGTTAAAAGCCAAAGTGCAAACCTTTAAAGAAAGGGCTAAATGAAAGAATAGCAATGTAATGATTTGTTCATCATAACATTCTACATTTATTTCTTGTCATTATAGTAATCTATTTTGAAAAATAAACCAAATTATAGCAATGTAATTCGGTAGAAAATAATTTTCATTAAGTTGTTCTTTAAAGTACAATATAATGTATACTCATAAAATAATTCAATCCGATAATTAGATATTTAAAAAAATAAAAATATATTGTTATTTTTGTAATTTAATTTGGACCAAATTTTTCCATCCCTACCCATGGCTCGTCATCATTGTCCCCACTACCCATATGTTGTTACCTCTTGTGTAGTCACCGTCATCTTTGTAACCTTTGTTTGTTATTTATTTATTTATTTAAATTAAGAACTTAGGATTATATATTATATATTATGTACATTTTAAGCATCAAACACATACAAAACAAAGAAGGTACAAAGAAGCTACCCCACGTGATATGTTTAAGAATATTTAGCAAGTAAAATGAAATTGCAAGTAAAATACATGTGTTATCTTATAATAAGAATATCTATAGGGTTAGTTACATTTTATATATATATATATTATATATATATATATATATATATATATATTATATATATATATATATTAATTTGACAATTTTAACTAATTTACTTGTAATGTTTCGGCACAAAGATGTAACTTAAAAAAAAGAATAATAAAGTAGAGTTTAAATCCAAAAAATAAAAAAAAAATATTTGGACCAATCGACAAAAATAAAAATGAAATATAATCCAAAAAAAAATCTGATACATAGAGTCTAACCCATATTTATAATATGAAAATAAATATATTAGCTAGCTCGTTGACCAAAATGACGTGTAGTTTGACTTTTATAAACCAAGAAAGTACCCCACGTGATATGTTTAAGATTATGGTACCCTACGCATTAAATATTGTACCCGCACGTGAGTTGTTTATTGCGACAGGCGCCGACGGAACTGTATGGGATCCAGCCCAGTTTTGTAATTTTATGAATTGTTCTCCTAATCTATTGGGCTCAAAACTATAAACATTAATCATCTGGGCCCATTTAACCCAATAATTGTTACCTCTTAGTCCCACCTAATTAATGGGTTCTTTTTACCATTATTAGACAACATTAAATGTACCATATAATTCAATTATATATAATGACAAAGATAAGATCCATAAATTTTAAAATATGTGTAAGTTATCTCATACGACTAATAATCTTGATTTCATATCAACATGGTCTACATGGCCAACAACAATGGAGCCTAAACTAAATCTCATTTGAATATGATAAAAATTGGTAGATGTTAAGAGCTATATCTTCCTCAAGGATAGAATCACTTTTTTGATAGATGATCTTCGACATATATAATACAAGGTCGTGTATAAGCATATGTTTACAAATATATGGACAAAATATATAAACACACAACCATAGGAAGCATAGACCAACAATTAAGCACAAAAAGAAAATACAAGAAGTTAACCAGGGAAGGGGTAATGTTATAGTAGGGCATCCAATATTGTATATTTGATATATAAGGTATGTTTGGAAAAACTAGTCGATACCTGGAAATTATGGTATTATTTGTGTAAAAGTGTTGCAAAACTAATTTAAAGCTCTTGAAAGGTTTAAAATGACATAAACATAAAAACTAAGATCTCTCAAACTATCTGAAGTAACATTTGGATTATAAAACTTTTGTTTAAAATAAAAACTTAAATCTTGTACTCACAAACAAAACTTTTTCTTTAATTGCAGTTTGTTCTTTTATTCTTAAAACTAAAAGCTAAAAGCTGCTTGTTTGTTGAACATTCATATAACGGTAATGAGTGGCTAGACTTATTTACGTGTAGTCTTCAAATATTTCTCAATCGAAGGAATCTTTAAAGGCAATATGTAAGTTGTTTTCTGAATGAAATACGAGCATGCTCGCTTTTAAGAATGCACGATTTGCAACATGGATGCGATTGATTTCACGAGTCAGATATAAAGCAAACTGTTTTTTCGTATACGATTTGTTTATTTATTTATTTATTATTTAATTTTTTTGCATTCACTGAATTTGGATTCTTTCCTACCTTATCATTTGTGATTATTTGGTGGATAGGTACTTTCACCTTTTAAACAAAGTTTTTGATGTTACTATTGATTAGGGTGAAAGATAGAAATGACAAATTAGTACTTTGGATTCCTTTACTCATACCTCCACCCAAGACCAAGTGTGTTGAGGTCAATCCAATAGGATGCATGCATCCTCTTTTTCTTTGCTTGTAATCATCAAAGTTTCGTATTCAAATGATTGTTTCAAACACACGAGATTAATGTGATGTTTTGTTAGTAATTTTCACAACCACATCCTAATAATTTCAAGGGGGTAAAACATTAAATCAGATGGCGTAAATTAGAAATTGGCAAACATGTATACTTTTTTTTTGGTGAGGTGAAAAACTTGGATATCTAATATTATTGATATTAAATATGAATCTCACATTATTATCAATGCGATCGAATATGACATTGACTTAAAAGTTATCGTAAGGCAAGTGGTAGAAATACAAATGGTCAACAAGGATATGATTAAACTCACAAAAGTTTTATTTATGGTTCAATAGTTATTATAAATAAGAAATTAATTGTTGCTCATGTTTTAGTGAAAACATGAGAGAAATTATTCATTTTTATGGTTGCATAAGATTATCAAGTTTTATATTAAGAAGTGATTTTTGTAACTTAAAAAATTGATTCATCCATATAAGGTATAAAATAGATATTATACAAGTCATTAAAGCATGTATTTTATGTGGATGAATTAAAATATTAAGTCAAAAAATCATCTTCTTTATATTAAATGTATAAATTTAATCGACATTTTACTAGTATTTTGGGACGTTTCATAGTGATTGCTCGGTGACAAAAAAGGAATTTATATGGTTGAAGTTTATAGGGATTTTATAATATGTGCCCTAAGGGCACATACAAGAAGTATTAATTATGAAAAACATTATCATAATTAAATGTAAAATTCATTTATTATGGAGATTAGTAATGCATTTCACATTTAAATATGATAATAATACTTATAATTAATACATTTCACATTTAATTATGATAATATTTATCATTAAAGAATGCTTTGTATGTATGTCCTTAAGGAACATGTTAGAAAATCTGAAGTTTATATTATTAAAGTTACAATGGCTTCTACTCTATGACTGTTAACACATTGTCATAGGCGTATTAAACAAATAAAATTTCACTGATGGTTGCACTAAAAATATAGCACAGGGAAGCAGGGTCGAATCCTTAGGGACACAGCCTAACAGTTAATATATTTTTGCATCAGACACATTCTAGTCATTAAAACAGAAAATATAAATGGGGGATTTTGTTTTAAACTAAAAACTAAAAACTGCAGTGAAAATAAACTAAAGGTAAATTAATAATAAAAACGATTTTAGTTCTGCTGCGACTTTCCTAATCATGCAATCAGTTCAGATCTGGTTATCCAGAATGCGTTTCATCTAAATTGGTACTGAGAAAAACTAATAAGCTCTATTATAATCTCTTTTACCTAAATTAGTTAACCAAAACAAGCTCTTTGAATTAACCCTCACTTTTTACTATTCAATTAAACAAACTTTTAATTAAATCAGAAAAGCAACTTTATGTTCTGTGTAAAATTCTCAGCAATATCCAATACTTCTCATAAGCTCGGGAGCGTAAATATATGATTTTTCAGTTTATACCAGAGTTAAATCCTAAACACGAAACCAATCTGATACTTGTTACTTATTACCAGTTGACAAGAACAATTACATATTCTATTAACTGATTAATTGGAATGACAAAACCCTAGTTAGGTGATCAGACTAACAAGAATTTAGAAATTAAACGTTTATTAAGCTCAAAATTGAAAAATCTAGATAGAAACACAAATCAACAACCAGATCTGAAAACTAATCACATGAAAAGTACTACTCTATGTAGAACTGAAAACTAGGGTTTAGCCTGACATGGCTAAAAACGAAAATAAACTAAATAAAAAGAACATTTACTGATAAATCTAGATAAACTAAATGTTTGAGATGATTCACAACTTCAGATCTTCAGAAATCGCTGAAAGTTATCAGAATCGCCTTCAGAAGTGATTTCCGTCGTCTGGAGCCGTCTAACCTACAAATATGAATATGAGGGTCTTATTTATATGCGAAACAGAAGCTTCCAGAGAAAGTAATCGAAAAATGCGATCGTAGAAAAGGGAATTGGGATCGTAGAAATAAATATAAATTCTAGAAATGCCCTTAACTGAAGTATGATGTTATTTTTGAAGTTTATGGGGGCTTCGGGACAAAAATGCGATCTCAGAAAAGCCATATGTGATCACAGTTTTTTGAATTTCTTCCAGGATTGTGTATGAATGAAGTACAAAGCCATTTATGAAGTTTCTGGAGTTTCATGATAAAAATGCGATCGCAGAAAGGCATTATGCTATCTGTTGTGAGGTGTCGAAGCGTTCTTAGTCGTGTATTAGTGTCGAAGTCAGTCTTGTATGTTTTGCATAGGGGTGTCTGTATGTCGAAGCTTTAACGTTTAATCCCTTATGTATTTTTTGTATGCTTCTGTAATTCTTATAAATAGGTGATAGGTACTAGAGTTAGAGTAACTTTTGAGCCTTTGCTACTTTACTCTAAACTTTCTCTGTATCTTTCAGAAGCTATAATCGAGCCATCCAAAACTTTTTTACCTTTCTGTGTTCATTATTTAATCTAATCTCTGATTACGTTTCATATACACAATCGATAACAACTACATTTGGTATCAGAGCAGTATTCATCTAGTTGATCTCTGATTTTCTCTAGTTTTCAAAAGTTTTTGAGTCTCGTTCTAGATTCAAAATTTCCGCACT